CGTGCCACATGCAAGGATTGGTGTTCAGCACTCCTACCCGTTGTCATCCCGTCCCCGTGGATCTTCTTAGTCGGCAAGAACAGCGATACCTGCAACTTCTTGTCTTTCCCCACCAGACGCTCCTTCACCTACTCCCTTCTCCCTGAGCTCCACGGCGTGCGGTATGTGGGCTCTCAAGCTGGTTGGCTAGCAGTCTACAATGAAAACCTGGATGTCAGCCTCATAAATCCTCTAACAGCGGCTCGAATCTGCCTCCCCTCCTTCCTCACCCTACCCAATTTTGAGCTCGTCGGCGGCAGCTGTGTCCTTCCTCATCTCAACCGAATCTCCCGTTTTTTTGTTTCGAAAGTTATCTTCTCCGCAAATCCAACTACCCATAATTACATCGCGGTGAGTCTCTATGGCACTCCCCAAATTGAAATCGCCTACGCAAAAGCAGGCGGAGACAAGTGGAATCTTCTTCAGACGACATCGACTCAGAATCGTTCATACGAGGATATCATGTACCACAATGGGAAATTCTACTGCATAACAGGTGAAGCCGAAGTCTTCGCTTTTGACCTCAGTGGAGTTTCTCCCACCGTGACGGTGGTCGCCGAGAGAACGTCACTCGGTTTGACATATTTCGACTATCACATTCCTTGCTTCGGTGTCATACAAATTTACGGCAAATACTTGGCGTGCTCGAGCACCGGGGAGCTGTTCCTGATTTTTAGGCGCGAAGTTCACTGTCATGAATCGCTGGGATGGAAGGGTATCATGGTTTGGAGGTACAATCCTCAGCGTCAGCCATGTTGGGAAGCTGTGAAGAACTTGGGGAATAAGTCCTTGTTGATCGGTATCAACAACGCTATATCGATTTCTACCGAGAATTTTCGAGGTGTACGACGAGATTGCGTCTACTTTATGGAGGCGCTGGTCAGAACCATAGTCGATGACCGGCCCGAATTCATTCTTAGAATTGGAGTGTTTGATGTGGAACGGGGAATGTGGGCGCGGGCAAACTATCAGTTAGAATCACACTCGCAGCCACCCATCTGGTTCACTCCCTCCATGCTGTGAACCAAGAAACGAGTAGTTCTTGCTCTTATTTGACTTACAACTCCTACTACTACATATAGAGATGATAGATACATTACAGGCCACAGTAACTATATCAACTTGTGCTTTGATATTGTGCACAAGAAAATGTTTTGCTTGATTTATGAAGTTGCACATCTGTTTTACAAGTTTGATATGACCATAGAAGATGAAAGCAAGTTTTCCTTCAAGAGGAAACAACATAAAGAAACATGTAGATGCCTTTTGCTCTTATATGAAATTTTGATTTTGAGTGATTTCTTTATGGCCTTATCAGTCATCATTAGTTGTGGGTATCACTAGAATTAGTGATTGATTTGAGATCCTATACCTGCAGGTACTATTTGATGAGGTTACTGTAATGAATTAAATATGAAAGAATTACATCATCTAATTGGAAATAAAGAAAAATAGTTACTTAATACCACATGTTGCTGAAGACAGATCTTACTTTGAAAAAGATAGTGACTTGTGATGTGTGAATGATATTATGCAATTTGGTGAAAAAATAAAGGACCCAAAATCTTGAGAACTGCAGGAGAAGAATTTATCGGATGAAAAATATTAATGAGATAAATCAAACGTGCATATCCATTTCTTGTCGCACCTTATATTTTATAAATATTAAAAAGATAATTATCGATACTTGTCTTACCGCCTTACTACACTGTCGCTCTATTGTGATCGTTTCCGTCAATCGTCTCCACCCTGCTATGACTGTCTCATTGCGCTACATTGTGGGCTCACCTTTGCCACCAAGAGGTCCCGTAGCGAGACCTTCGTTGTCGTCCTCGTCACCTTCGTATTATTATGAGACCAAAGTCATCTCTACATAGCCACAACTATTATTTGTGAAGCCCCCCTCCACAAGGCCCTAGCCTTGCCCTCGTGAAGCCTCCATCCCCAGCATCTACATCCCATGTTATTGTTCTTATCATCCATTTGTTCTCTAAGGACAAAGGATAGGGAGGAGGGGATGGGGTGGTCATTGACGTTGCAAAAGGTGACGAGGTATGGTCGTCCGTGATGCCCATAGTCTCACCCTCGACTTTCCATTGCACTCTTCGAATGCATCATGCCTTATCTCCTCTTATACCGCCAACTCTCGTGCCCTCTATCATAGCTTTTTCCCTTCACCCATTTTCAACAAATATCTATTCTCTTTTTCTCTTGTGATCTTCTCCCTATGCACCAGCCTACCCTTGCCCACTTTCACCATAGTACCATGCTCACATCCTTCATCGTCATCACCACATCTAACTTCTACTAAAGAGCCCAACGAGGAACTATTTGACCTAAGATTTTGGTCCTCTCTAACAAGCCCTCGAGCAAGAAGCACTAGGGACCATCAACATCACGATCGACATCGAAGAATAATGCACTGGGGCCTCTTTGCCACCCATAAGAACTACTATCGACTCGCCTCCAAGCCATTGGCCAACTCATATACTTGTGCTTCGATGAGCGCTCCACAAGAGGTGGCAAAGGGATTTTGTGGAGGGGCATCGGGAATGGAGGTGGTGACCATGTGGAGGGTTGGAGGTGACATTGCGAAGGTGACAAAGGTGACAACGATAATGACAAGGGCCTCACAATAATAGAGATGACTCGTAACATGACGAGATAGTGGGGAGAGGCGAAGATAACCACAGTAGGATGACAATCGAAAAGGCGAAGATTAGGAGTAATCTCATCTTTTAAAAAATAAGGGATATTTTATGAAATAAAAAAAAAGCAGAACACTCTATAAAAAAAAAGTAAAAACTTAGGGTTTTTTTTTTTTTGAAGAATTTATCCTTCTTTTAAAAAAAAAAGATTTTATAAATAAAAGCTAAATGAGTATAATACAATCATCCTAGTTCCCATCACACAGCAAACTAGAAAATATCAAGACAGGAATTTAATTTTTCCATCCAAGAGCAATGATATTATCTGTAAGTTGCTTAGTTTTGTAAGAGTATATAAGCTAAACCTAAACACAGAGGGATAAATATAAATACTAAAACTAGAAGGTTTTATACACGTAGACAACTCTGCCGGCAACTTAATTCGCTGCAGCTCCACGTGGAATACACCTCAATTAATAGATACGATCCCTTTTTTTTTATGGCTTTCAGCTTTGAAAGGGCAATTATCCTTAGCAACTGTTTAGCATTTTGTATTTTGAATTAATATAGCTTTTGCTTTATGAACCCCCAAAAAAAAACAAAATACCGTCACCAACAGCAAACAGTAATCTCACACGTCTTAAAGCTTAAAATCTCACCTTCAACACTTATCTTTTGTCAAATAAAAAAAGTCTCGTTTTCCTTCAGTATTATCTGCTACTCTACATTAAACATTATAATGGAACACTTACTACTTGTAAAACAATAATTCTCGTTATCATTAGCCATTCCATTTTACATTAAATTCAAAATTTGCAGATTAGCGAGGTCAACTATAGAAAATATTGGAGACCTGAATCATCCCCTTTCCACTCAAACAAACAAAAAGAAACTTGGTAATATGCAAGGTTTTGTGTGTAAGCCAATCTAAGCTGTATATGTTCAGACTTTTCCTCTTAGCAAGATGTAACATATATCATCCTTCTGGCACAAGTCTGCTTCGAAGTTAAATTGCATCCGTTTAAGGTAGCATCGTTTCTATTTTTATAAGAAACCGGACATGATCATTCAAAGATGTGCTGTGCAAGCCGCAATATTTGCCAATGGCTTCATGGTCTTACCTATGTCTTGTATCTAGAATTGCAGATACTGGATAAGACATACCTCAGGTGGCTTCAGTTCCCTCCGTCTTCAATGTTGTTTGATCCACAGCCTGGACATGTGCACTTCTTCTGCAAGTCCTCCCCAAGAGAAGCATATACCTTCTCCAACTCAGATGTCTGCTTTTTATAGTTAGGGAAACATTCTGAAATATGTAGCGGCCTCTCCCTCTTCCAATGGTTGAGTTATCATCAGGTTGATAGGCACTACTGCATGTTGTATATAGAACATGCTGCATACGCTTGCTGTGCATGTTAACATAATCATAAAACCAAACCAAGAAGGATATTCAGCTAGTTCCTGCAGCTGCTTCGTTTCTTCCATGATGGCTGTCACAAGAAACCATCTCCTTTCAACATGGGCAAGCTGTTCACAAACCTGCAAGAATACACGTAAGATAAATACTTCCATTATTTATCATGTATTACATGATTCAGACACCTAACACAAAATTTAATGGCCTAGTTTAGTAAATTAAAATCCTAGCTTTGTTTATAGAAGCTTCAAATATAAGTAGCAGACTCCCAGAAACTTACGATATCTTATGTCATAACAAGCATCATCAATTTCAAATGAAATATGAGCTAGAAATGTAGAAATCATCTGCAAGTGGACAGACTCGATATGCAGAAGCAATGACCATAAAGCCACCAGAAACATTTTATATATCATAATGATTGAACCACATATTCAGTTGTTAAATCTGTTATGTTTCTCAAAAAACATTGGAGAGTTGACAAGATAATGAGAAAATTTCCCTGGATATTTCTTGAACTAGGAAAAGCGTAAGATGACATAGGAAAATACAGTCTAACATCTCTTGCTCATTAGATGACACCAATGGCATTTGGACTATGAGAAGAAAGTCAATAATAGTTAATCTAGCAAATTTATTCATTTATAACACTTGCTAACCATGAAGGTTAAGCAGATAACTAACCAGTTTCAAAAGAGAACATAAAAGTACTGAGGTAAAACCATTAATCAAGACCAGGTTGCAAAACGATATACTGGATTGATGATGATGTCGCAGGTTATTCAATCATCTGAATTAGTAAAAAAATATACTCTAGGTTGTCTAATTATAAATCCTACAACAAAAACATGTTAGAACCATAAACGAAAGTTTTGTTGCTGCCTATGATGAGATAAATGAACCAAGCCCAAATATGTTAAACAGAAAAGCTATCATTCTCGTTAATAGCAAGAATGAATGGAGGGAGATTAGCATCCTTGTTCCACATTGAAACATCAAATTCTTTTGAAGCAACCATGTGCATGATCTAAACAGAAAACATGTAGTACCAGAGTCCAATCTATATGTTAGAGTTGAATGCCAGATATCTAGTACACTTGTGAGTATCAAAAGGTCTTCTAGAAAGATATGGAAAGAAGAAAAGAAGAGGATACACTCTACTTATCTTTTCATATCATGCCTGGTCTTTTTTATACCAATTAAATGTCAAGTTATAGAAGTATTCAAAAATGAAATTTCTCAATGTTCACCCATTTTGATATAGCAAGTACTTTTATTTGGTTCAAATGTATTTGGGCTCATCTATAACCATATAGTATATGTTTTAGTACAACTTGAACTTCAGTCACCACTGAAACAGACTCATTGGTTTTGGAAACATCTGAAACAGGAGATGGGCTACGTTTTGGATATAACTGCTTTGTGAGGCTGTATAAATGACATAAAGGAGGATTTCGCTAATCATCATCATTATAACAAAAAAAATCAAATACAAGTCTAATAATTAATTATTTTGTTTAATATTTAAGGTCTCAAACACAAAATATAGGTCCACTTGAAGCCCTTGGTCTTATTTTAATATTATTTATTTACATGGGCTAATATTGTGTTCGTTTTTGCCAAACACTATATGTGTTTTTTGCTGTTGGTCTATATTATTTAAAATCTGATAATTTAAAATCAGCAAGCTGGACACCCAGTAGTTAACTAAATTCTTGGTCTGTTGGTTGGAGCAAAGCAAGTTGATCGGTTGCCCTCCTAAGTGGCCTTTTAAACTAGCAGATGGGTTGCCGTTCATATATATTCATTCTGCCTAGCTAAGGAGGCTGAGTGCCCACTCCAGGAACTGATCACATAAGAGCACGCTTTTTATGAAAAAGATAGTAAAGCTAGAAAATCACCTAGGATTAATGAAAGTCTAATATGATTAAATTACGGTATGTTTGCTTTATAAAAGCCTTTTTACCTTGTTTATAATGCTCTATTGTCTTTTTTGCTGATTTACCATTATTTTCCAGCAATGAAGATAGGGGTTCCATAAGTACTGAAAATTACAAAATTTCAACAATCTAGAACTTCAAGGAAAAACAGACACAGAGTGACTAGCACAGATTAGTATAGCATGCACATTTTTAATCTTCTCATTCATGGGAATTAATACAGAAAAAAAGAAAAAGAAACAAAAAACTGACCTTATCACGATTATGTCTTTCTTTTTCGTACTCTGCTTCCAACTCATGCATCTGAGTGCTGAGGCATGTAATGTTATCTTCAAGACCTTTTAGAAAGCCTTGCATATCAAGTAATTTTGTGTTTTAGAGTCTGTTTTGCCTGTTTGAATGTTTACAAATATATATACCAGATTAATAGTACTGGTAGTTCTGTTGTTTGATCATGAGTTTGATCACAGAAAGTATACTGGCGAACCCAGTTTAGTTGGCAAACCTTGGCAGCAGGTACTACCAAGCTTTAGATAAATAAATAATAAGCTAAATATTTCTGGTTAGTCAGTGCCCAAACATCAAAGTAGACTCTACTGATAAATTTTCTGCATTGGTACAAGACTTACAAGCTCTAAATTTCAATTTTATATGGACTTGATAATTATGCTTTATCAACAAAGTTGTTCCCATATAGATGAGATAAAAGCAGCTATTTGTATTTATTCATGTTCATTTTAAGACAATGGCAACATAATGTAACATTGTGTTATATCCTTACTTTAAACATGTGTTGGGAGCATCACTCTGCAGGGTAACTACCCAGCCAAATGCATAGGTTGGCCCAAACAAATGATGAGGTAATAATGAATTTTCATTTAAGTCAATTACATTGCCATTTTCAATTTTTTTTCAGGCAACTAGACAAACATAAGCTCTATAATAAACCTATTTGTTCTGGATAAGTTTACTTTATTTGGCCTCATTGCGAATGCATGCATGGCTTATTATGCACCTTTGATAATTATATGTTCAGTGAAAAAACAAAAATAGTTTAGTTTAGGAATTTTCAAGATGTTTTAATAGTCAAAATTAATCATATGCATCTGAAGGACTTCAGAAATTGTATCTTTCATGAAACTTTAGTAAACAAAGATCCAGAAGAAAATTTATAAGAAGATCTGGAAGGATTTTACCAGATGAAGGGTTCAGATCTAGTTATAAGTTTACAGGTTGTTTTCCTTGTGAAGAAAGACCAGAATATATCAGATGAATCAAATCACAAATGAATTCTGAATTCTGTAACTTTTCGGTATTGATCTTGAACAC